AAAAAAAAAAAAAAAAAGAACTCCTTATCTAGATGCAAACAACCCTAGAAATCTTAAGCTGGTGTTTCTCTTCCTTGGCTGTATATAAGAGTTGACTGGAGATTCTCATGCCTACAGTCTGGAGTGGGGCGTGAGTATCTGGATCTACTAAACACCTTCCAGGTAATTCCAGTGTCCCCCACCCCAGGCTGAGGATCACTGGTCCAAGCCCAAGAGTGCTGAATGGGGAACCAGAAAACCCAAGTTCTGATCCCAAATCTACCACTTTTCCCAGCCTTAGGCAGATCTCTTCGCCTGCTGGTGACCCAGTTTCTTCATGTGTAAAGTTGGGCAAACCATCCTGTGAAGATACGAGGAGACCCAAGAGCAGTTTAGAGCAAGGAAGGGCTTACTGACACTTGGGGAAGAGTCATGGCCAGCTTGCATGGCGGGTGGGGAAAGACATTAACCAGAACCTCACGGCGGTTACACCCGCTTCCCCTCCTCCCTGTCCTCAAAGCCACTGCCCCCTAGTGGTGAGAGTGAACCTGAGCCCCTGAGCTTTTGTCCTGGAAAGCGTGGTGGGTGGGGGGGAGCAGATCTGAGAGCAGAGGGCATGCAAAGGGGATTTAAGGAAAGACCCAGAGAGGAAAGGGAGATGGGAGGGGTGCCCATGGCCAGGAATGCTATTTTTTTAAGGTCCAGAACCATGGGAAATAATCTTTCTTGTTAACAAGAGGTGCTGAATTATTGAAGAGACCGAGAAGGTCAGATGGCAGGGGGTGCAGGGCAGGTGCTATAGCTTTGTGTACTCTGGGTGGGGGGGGAGACTTGGGGGGGGATCGGGGGGACTTCCCGCCCACAGCTTCTTCTCCTAGGATGTGGCTTGTGACTGCAGTGATTTGCTTCTCCAAATCAAAATGCGGGCCCTATGGACCAGTTCCTGAGAGCTCATGGGGATGGTGGAGCAGAGTCGGCTCTGGCCAGTGCCGGGAATGCAGGCCGTGTGGCTGTAGGCTGTGTCTCTGGGACACCTGGAATCCTGGCTCCAGCCTGGACCTCGGAAGCCTCCTACGAAAACCCCAGCCCAGAGAAGGGAAGGCACCTGCCCAAGGTCACACAGGTGGCCTAGAGCCCAGCTTTCCCGGGATCCCTCAGTCCACAGTACCTTCCACTGCACCACCCTGAGAGGCTGGGAAAGGTTCTATCCCTGGACTAGGGCTTGAGCGAGGTCATCCCCTCCCTCTGACTCCTTCCCAGCACTGCCAGCCCAGCAGAGGCCCAGAGGGTCTAGGAGGTGTCAGAGCAGAGGGTTATGAACCGCCCAGGTTCAAGGCCCAGCTCTGCCACTTACCAGCACTGTGACTTTGGGCAAGTTATTTAACCTCTGTGAGCCTTAATTTTCTTTTTCATCTGGGGGAGAGTCTAGTGCCCTAGGGTACTTAACCTCTGTGAGCCTTAATTTTCTTTCTTTTTCATCTGGGGGAGATTCTAGTGCCCTAGGGTACTTAACCTCTGTGAGCCTTAATTTTCTTTCTTTTTCATCTGGGGGAGATTCTAGTGCCCTAGGGTACTTAACCTCTGTGAGCCTTAATTTTCTTTCTTTTTCATCTGGGGGAGATTCTAGTGCCCTAGGGTACTTAACCTGTGTGAGCCTTAATTTTCTTTTTCATCTGGCGGAGATTCTAGTGCCCTAGGGTACTTAACCTCTGTGAGCCTTAATTTTCTTTTTTCATCTGGGGGAGATTCTAGTGCCCTAGGGTACTTCTGAGGATTAAATGAGCTACTTAAACAGGAAATATTTTCCTATAATAAATGCACAATAAAGTGTTAGGGGTTAATAAGATTGGCCGCTTCTAGGGCTTCCTGGACCACCTAAACTCTGGGATTTGGACTTGGCCTCGAGATGGCCAAGTGGGGAGGAAAAGTGGGGAGCAAAGTGCTGGCCTGTCTAGTTAGGATGGCAGTAGCTGAAACCAGGCCAGGTCTGGAAGCCTGGAAGTGAACGATGGACCAGAGGAGTAATAAGGACAAAGCCAGTTCTTTCTGAAGCCTTTGCCCAGTTTCTGAGGAAAACTTTGGCCAGGCCTAGGACTGCTGAGCCTCCAGCTTGTGCCGCGGGAGACTGATGGGGCAGAAATGGGAGGGGAGGAAGGCCTCGCACTTCCTTATGAGATAAGATGTGCAACTGAGAGGACCTGAGAATCCTGACTCACCAATCAGCCTTAACACCATCCCTGCTCCTTGGCCCAAAGAGCAAGGCTGACATTTTCTTTCCATGTACAGGAAGAGCAGAAGCAGCACCAACCACAGGCTGCAGTTTGAGGATATTGTAAGGTCCTTCCCATGCTCTGCATCTCTCCCTTTGCCTGTTCCAGAGCAGAGTAGGGGGAAGGATGCTAGGAATGGTCCCGTCTGGGCCCCTCACTACCATCTCACAAAGAAGCTAATGACAATGATGACAGTGCTGGCTAATTTTTAACACATATATTTCCAAGCACCATGTGAAGGGCTTTATGTGAATTATCTTACTTCATCTTCACAATAACCCTGAGAGGCAGTACTGTTGTTACCCCCACTTTCCAGATTTGGCTCAGAGAGGTGAAGTCACTGTCCATGGTCACACAGCTAGCCAGGGTGGATCTGGGACTTAAGCTCAGACACTCTGGGTCCAGAGAGCCTACTTTTCCCTGATGCTCTGAACAGCCTCCCCGTGCTCTGCTGTGAAATTCATGCCCAAAGAGAGGAGTTCCTTTATGCCCCCTGCACCAGGCAGGTTGGTGTCCCTGCTCTGTGTCCCTTTAGTATCCTCCAAATTTCAAGTTTTATTATTTCCAGGGCTGATACTCTGGTCTCCAGAAAGCTTTCTGTCGTCTTCTTCACACACAAGAGCTCCAGAAAGCTCTCCTTCCGGAAAGAAGAGAGAAGGAAGGTCCAGGCATGGTTTAGGGGTGAGGAGAAAAGGCTGGGTGCTGCTCTGTGTTTCCATGGCAACGCAACAGCCTTCCTCATTACTGCTTTGTTTGCTGCTGAGAAACCTGAGGAGGGTGGTGAGGTGGGGGTGAGGCTCTCTTCTCTCCTTTCCTTCCTCACCACCCCTTCAGGCTGGGCAGCCAGGTGAGCTGAAAGCCTGCACCTGACACAACCTTGCTGGCTGGATTCCACCCGACTCCAAGCTTAGAGGCTGGGACCTTGTAGCTGGAGTCCTCCTGGGCAGAACGGCAGCCTGGGCCAGGCCTGTCAACAGCATTCCCCTCCCCAGATCCCAAAGGCTGTGAACTCCCTAAAGAGGACCTCATGTTTGTACTTCCAGGGTCTCCACAGGGCCTGGCAAGGGCAGACACTCAATGGATTCTTATTGAATGAACAAATGAAAGAACAAACCAGCAATCCATCCCATACTAGAGCTACGAGTATTCATCTTCACTTTCCCAAACCTCCGTGCTCTGTCCCCCGTTCTGGGTCTTTGCCAATACGGTTCCCTCTGCCCACACGCTTCCCCACTGCACTGTGCTGATTCTGACACCTCACGGCTCAGCTTGGAGGTCACATTCCCACAGAAGGTTTCTGTGACTGCTTGATGGTGGGCCCTCCCCATGGCCCCTGGGCTATGGGAGTGTGCTGGAGTGCAGAGGCATGTGCCTTGTGTGCGTGCGTGTCTCCCCAGTGAGTCTGGGAGCCTCATGCAGGTGGGAACCATGTCTGCCAGGCCCCTAGATCCTGACATGAGGCCTAGCTCGTAGTAAGTGTGCAGCTCTTCTTTGTGAAAGGTCAGGAAGGACGGGGTGGTTCTTTTGGAATAAGAGAGAATGAGGGAGTGGGGGTTGATGAGTGAAAAGAGCAGCATCCAAACTCAAACCTCCTTAGAGTCGGATGGAAGCCAGAGCTCTTCACAGCCCAGGACCCCCTCCCCTGCCCTCATCATGCATAGTGTTAACCAAATAATAACAACAGTCCCAAGTCCTTGTGGCTGTGCAGCAGCTCACCAAGCTCTTTCACATCCTTGGCCTGGTTCCAGTCCCCAGACAGCCTTGAAGAGAGGGCCTTATGAATTGTTCCCGTCTTTTTTTTTTTTTTTTTTTTTTTTTTTTTTTTTTGTGTCTCTCTCTGTTGTGGCCTCTCCCGTTGCGGATCACAGGCTTCGGACGCGCAGGCTCAGCGACCATGGCTCACGGGTCCAGCCGCTCTGTGGCATGTGGGATATTCCCGGACCGGGGCACGAACCCGTGTCCCCTGCATCGGCAGGCGGACTCTCAACCACTGCGCCACCAGGGAAGCCCCTGTTCTCCTCATTTTAAGGTGCTGGGCAACTGGATAGCCACATGCCCAAAGATGAACTTAGACCCTTACATCACACCATATGCAAAAATTAACTCAAAATGGATCATCAACTTTACTGTAAGAGCTAAAACTATAAGGTTTTTAGAAACATTGAAGAAAATCTTTAAGACTTTGGGTTAGGCAGAGACTTCTTAGATACAATACCAAAAACATGGTCCATAAAAGAAAATTTGATAAATTGGACTTTGTCAAAGTTTATAACTTCGGTTATAACTTTGGCTTCAAAAGACACCACGAAGAAAATGAAAAGATAAGCAAAAGACTGCAAAAAACTATTGGCAAAACACACACATGATCAAGGAAGAGCATTCCAAGCTTAAAGATGAGGAAAGGGGCCCTGAGGGATGATGCCGCCAGCAAAGACAGTCTGGGTTCCTAAGTCTCGTGGACTCTCCACTGCATTTGTTGTTCTCCAGCAGCCCCGCAGCTGAGCCAGGCCTCCAGGCCTGACTGGGACTCTCGCTGGAGACCTGACTCAGGTAGGAAAAGTCTCTCCCAAGGCCTGCAGACTTACCAGACGCACCTTCCTCCTTTTTCCACCTGCTTCCTCAACAAGGGCTCCCCTGAGTGGCCACCAGCAGAACTGTAGCTTCCTGCCACAGCTGACCCAGAGCCTGGGATGGCTGAGATGCCTGCTCCATCTGCCAGGAGACCCCAGGAATGCCATCGCTGCTACTCTGACTCTCTGGCAGATGGCTTACTGTTAAAATATACTGTGTTCAGTGTAAACTATTATACTTTTACATTTGGCTAAACATGTTAGTGTAAATGCGTGGAAACCAGTGACCTGGGGTAATTAAACTGTGGGCAACCTAGGCAGAAAGAGAGGGGAGCAGAAAGTAGGAAAACTTAAGAAGGTAGGCAAGAGGCCCCCTGCTCCCGTTAGATGCTAATCTGGAGGCGGCTGTTGTTTTCCTTCCTTTTCCCAGGACTAATCTCATTACGCCCTTTTCCCCTATTTTTGTGAGTTAGCACAGGGAATCCAGACTCCCGGGCCGCCTCTTGTCTCCTGTACTCCAGTCCCTTTACCTTTATTCCCTTCTCCATCCCCAGCACCCAACCATCCCTAGTACCTAGAACCATTCCGACGTGTCCCCTGGAACTCTGTGTCCACTTTTCATTTTACAGATATCTATGTGATACTTCCTGTGTTCCAGGCATTTTTCTCCATGACTGATAGACCTTAACCCACATATCCCTCTTAACAGCACTGTGAAGTGGGTACTAATTGATAGCACCATCCCCATTTTACAGACGAGTAAATGAGGCATGGATAAAGAGCTTGCTCCAGGTCGCTTGGCAAGTAGGAGTTGGAACTGGGATTCAGTGCCAGAGCCCACAGTGCCCAGAAACACCCCCCAGATCCTCAGAGCATCACCTTTTCACTGGGAACTGAAACCCAAGACTCCCCAGGACCCTTACCACCCTCTCCGGGAGTGGTTTCTGTTTCTCTCCCAATACCATGGACCTGGGGATGGGAGAGATGTCTTTCTTGCTCTTCTTTGTAACTTTCAGACTATTCTTCCCTCCTCCCTGCAAAAGCCCCCGTCTTGTACCCACGGGTGTCAGCCTAGACGTCCTGCTCCCCCTCTGTGTCATAGGCATCTACTCCCCCCAACCCGGGTCACACCCCTCCTTCCTGGAAGAGCTCAGTTCCTGCCTCAGTGTCATGACACTACTGCTCCTGTCTTCATTCTTGCTGATTTCAGTATCCACATATCCACAGAGATGATCCGTCTAACAGTCTAGCCCCTCTGTTCTTTGACACTACTCAGCCTCTCACTCCATGGAAATGCCCTAGACCTTATCACTACCAATAACTGCAATCCCTTCTTAATCTCAACATCACCCAGATCATTTTCCAACAGCCAGTTCCTATCTGTCAACTCACACCCTCTAGGACTCAAAAATTCTTCCACCCACTGGAGCTCCAACAGCTTTCACTGTTCCTCGCCCTTCTCATGTTTCATTTCTCTCCTTACATGCCTTAAATTCCATGGCCAGTCCTTAAAATTACTCCCTTGCACCTTCAGTCCTCTTGTTTCATTCTCATACTTGCTTGGGAAAACCTCTACCCTGGTTAAAACTATCTGTGTGACTCTTTCACACCTGTAAGCACACAGATGAATACAGTTGAGGGAAATGCACAGTAAGTCTGGCTGCTCTTGTTGGAAATTCAAGACCGTAAACTTCAGTGCGCCCCTAGAGCTGCCTGTCAGTCCTGCTACATTCCCCTAACCCATTCACTCCTCTGGATTTCTGTTCTACCTTTTTTCCTGTTCTCAAACAGCCCACGTCTGCCTACCACCGGCATCACACACTCACCTGAGACCTTGTTCCCTCTTTTACTGAGAAAATAGAAACTGTAAGGAAAGCATGTCCACAATCTCCACCAGCACTCCTGCTACCGTGGGTCAGCTATCCGCCCTCAGCTCTCAGCAGAGGCCAACTTCTCTCCTTGGGCACTAGTTCCCAACCCCTCCTACATCCTCGCTTTGCTCTGGTGATTCTGCATCTCTTACATCACCAGATTTTTATTTTCTACTGGATCGTTCCCATCAGCATACCATGTGCAGCTATTCCTCCCTTCCCAACCACTTCCACCTCTCCATGCTCTTTCAAAGAGTTGCTGATGTCCCTGGCTCCAAATCCTCTCCTATCATTCTCTCTTGCAGCTCTTCTAGTCTGGCCACCGATAATCTCCACCTTGCTTCAACTATGGCTCCTCCTCAGTTCTACTCTTACTTGACCACATCAGCACAACTGGTCCCTCCTTTCTCCGGGAAGCATTTTCTTTACCTGGCTTCCAGGACAGCACCGTTTCCTGCTGTTCCTCCATCCTCACTGCCTGCTTGTCTCAGTCTCTTTTTCTGCTTCCTCCTCATCTGACCAACTTGTATATATTAGAGCAGCATCCCAAGGCTCAGAACTTGACCCTCACTCTCCGCTTCAGTGATCCAGTCCTACGCCTCGAACCATCATCTCTCCATGCTGGCAACTCCCATGTTGTGTGTCCAGTCTCTCCTCTGAACCGCAGACACATATCCAGCCGCCTGCCTGGCATGTCCGCAGCCCAGCTCCCGGTCCCCACGCCGTCCTGCACTTCCCATCCAGCACTTCCTGTCGTTTTCATCCAATGGCAGCACCTCCAGTTGCTCAGTCCACAAGCCTTAGTCGTCCTGGATTCCTCTCTTTCACGCTCCCCGTTCAATCTATCAGCAAATCTGGTTGGCTCCACCTTCAAATTATTTCCAAAATCTGACCATTTCTGACCACCTCGTGGCTCTCATCGCAGTCCAGGATACCGCTATCTGGTTGTTGTTGTTGTTGTTGTTTTTTTGTGGTACGCGGGCCTCTCACTGCTGTGGCCATTCCCGCCACGGAGCACAGGCTCCAGACGCACAGACTCAATGTCCATGGCTCACGGGCCCAGCCGCTCCGCGGCACGTGGGATCCTCCCAGACCGGGGCACGAACCCGCGTCCCCTGCATCGGCAGGCGGACTCTCAACCACTGCGCCACCAGGGAAGCCCGAGGCTACCGCTGTCTCTTGCCTGGGTTGCCACAGAGTCCTCCCAAATGAGCTCTCTGCTTGCCCTCACCCCCATTTATTCTCAGTGCCAGGGTCAAAGTGACCCCTTTAAAACATGAGTCACTTCATGTCACTCCTTTGCTCAGGTACCCCCCATGCCCTTCACTCTCCCCTGTCCAGCCACACCGGCCCATTAGCTTTTCCTCTGCTCCAGGCAAGCTTGTACCACCGCTACTACCGCCCCCCAGGCTTTTGCTCTGCCTGCAGTCTTTCCCCCACGGCTGTGTGGTCTGCTCCCCTCTCTTCAAGTCTTCGCTCAGATGCCATCCTCTCAGCGAAGCCTTCCGCAATCACCCTCTTTACAATCCTAATCTCACCCTGCTTCTCCCCCACTAGAATCCCACGAGGGAGGGATTTTTTTGTCTCGTTCACTGATATACCACCAGCATTAGTCTAGCACAAAGCAGTCGTTCACCAAATATTTGTCGAATGAACAAGCCTACTTTTCTTGAATGGGAGTGAAGAATTTCTAAGGTGTGATGCAGTCTGGAGCCAAAACAAATGATCTTTGAAAATCAGAGCAACCTTGCAGATAAGTCCAAGCAGCTGCCGGTCACATCCAGCTTTTGCTCGTACTTTCCGCTCTTACCCAGGCGTGAAGAATACGGATGCCCGTGACCACGAGCTCTGCATCTGATTCTCTGACTCACTGTATTGGCTCACGACCCTGAACAGGTGTTGATCTCCCCGGTTCAAGTTCTAGGTGAAACAGGGAGTCATTGCTGTGTGTCAGGCACTCTGCATCCTTTCCTTACTTAGTCTTGGGAGCTATTGCCTTTCTTGGAAACTAGATCAGAGAATCGTAAGACGTTAAAGATGATCGTCAGTGGCCCTATCTGCGCGGCACCCCATGATGCAGTGGTTCCATCCTCTAAACTGAATCTTTCCTCTCTGAGACCTTTGTGAGGCTTGTTCATTTATATAGAAGAAAAGCTTCACAAAGGCAGAAGTAGGAAGACCCATCGGAACGACTGCTTTGTGCATTTTACCACTCCTTTAGTAAAAGGAGCAAGTGGTACAAAGTAAACACTCTCCCAGGGCATCTGGGCCATTCTGCCACCTTGGCCCTGGGTTTGAGGAAGTGGTCTCTTACAGCAGCAGTTCCCAACCTATTTGTCACAAGGGACCGGCTTCATGGAAGACAATTTTTCCATGGACTGGGGGCGGGGGTAGGGCATGGTTTCTGGATGATTCAAGCACATTACATTTATTGTGCACTTTATTTCTGTTACTATTACATTGTCATATATAATGAAATAATTATACAACTCGGCATAATGCAGAATCAGTGGGAGCCCTGAGCTTGTTTTCCTGCAACTAGCTGGTCCCATCTGGGGGTGATGGGAGGCAGTGACACCCGAAGTGTGTTGCTTATGTCCAGTCTGCTCTGTAAGATGCAGCTTAATTGTCACTTGCCACTCACTGATAGGGTTTTGATATGAGTCTGCCAGCAACTGATTTATTATGGTCTCTGTGCAGTCAGACCTCTCTGCTAATGATAATTTGTATTTGCAGCCGCCCCCCAGCGCTAGCATCACCGCCTCAGCTCCACCTCAGATCATCAGGTGTTAGATTCTCATAAGGAACGCGCAACCTAGATCCCTCGCATGTGCAGTTCACAGTAGGGCTCCTGCTCCTATGAGAATCTAATGCCGTCCCTGATCTGACAGGAGGTGGAGCTCAGGCGGTAATGCGAGCGAAGGGAGCAGCTATAAATATAGATGAAGCTTTGCTCGCTGGCCCGCGACTCACCTCCTGCTGTGTGACCCCGTCCCCGCAGGGGGTTGGGACCCCTGTCTTACAGGACAGGGCTGTAAGGAGGCTCAGGGCTGAGCCTCCTGCCTTGACCATTTTTAAGCTCAGCGCACCCCTCCCAGCTCCCCGGCAGGCTTCTGCGTGTTGCATAATGCGGTGGGGGGGGGCTCATGTTTGACCTGGAAACCCCTCTGTTCACCAGGGAGCATCCCAGGATGACTGTCTCGCCGGGCAACCTGAATATGGTGGAAAAGTCCCGGAACTTCTCGGCTGACGACTGCTTCCACTCTCGGAGCACTGTCCTGCAGGGGCAGCCCTTTGGGGGTATCCCCACTGTGCTGTTCCTCAACGTTATCTTGTGGGTGGTGAGTTCTGGGCAGTGCAGTGGGCAGACAGAGAGGTCTCACCCAGGGTGGATGGTCCAGCTTTCACAAGTGATACAAGGGGCCCCAGCTGTCTGTGGATGCCAGCCACAGTGGTGGGAACTATCTGAATGTCAGTCCTGCCCAGGGTGGCCCAGGGTGGGTGGGCCTTGGAGAAGAGGAGGCTGCAGGAGCAGTGGAATCCCTGATTCTCTTCCTTGCACCCTTGTCCAAAGGTCCCCCTGGCCAGTGCCCTTGAGCCTCCCATCTGTCCCCTTGATGATTTATTCAATGAGTGCTCTGTGCATTGTTCTAAACATGCCACCAGCGCCTTCATTCAACCACTCTGAGCATCCATTCTGTGCTAGGAAGCTGCTGGGCACTGGGAATCTAGAGTTGCAGAAGGCATAACCCCTACCCTGACAGAGCTGGCCACCTAGGGGGGAGCCCCTGGGGACCTCAGGGACAGTCTTCCCCATGGGAATTCAGGGGTCAGTCGAGGGGAAGGCATCCATGAGCTCTCTTGCGCCATATTGCTTTTCCTGACCTATAGGTCATCGTCTTGGTTTACTCCTTCCTCCGGAAAGCCGCGTGGGACTACGGACGCCTGGCTCTGCTGATACACAACGACAGGTGAGGAGAGGCTGGGCGTCGGAAGTGAGCTGCTTGCTTCATCGGGGGATGTGCTGCCGTGACCAGGACACGGCTCTGACCAGTGCCCAAACTGCACAGGTGTCTCGTCAGCAGGTGACATCTCATTACCACCCCTGCCCGTGTTCTAGCCCTCCCTGCTTTAAGGTGACTTGGAGAGCAGCCATCTCTGGGCATGAGGCCACTTTTTTCTCAGATCTCAGCCTTTCTGGATCTCATGACTCCCAAGATGCGTTGGCCACCTGTCTGTGTCCAGAGCTGTGTGCTCAGCAAACAGGTTGAGGCGTGTCTGCTACTGGGCAGGAGGGGACCACAGCCCTCAGCCCAGGGAGCAAGGCTGGCACCTAAGAACTTTCTCCTTTTCCACCTCCGCACTACCCTTCCTGGCTGGCAGCCTGACCTCGCTGATCTATGGGGAGCAGAGCGAGAAGACGTCTCCCTCGGATATTTCCCTGGAGATGGAACACAGGGACAAGGTGGGTGCTGGGGTGGGCCTGGGCCTGGTGAGGACGGGGGCAGGGGTCCGGGCTCCGGACAGGTGGCCCGGGCATCTGCAGGAAGGAGCGGGCTCATCAGCAGGGGCTTTGCAATCAGCCACCCAACCACTCCTAGCAACCTGACCTTGGACAAATGCCCCCACCTTGCCAAGCCTGTTTCCCCATCGGAAATATGGAGATACTGACCGTACCTGCCTCCTAGGGTGCCAAGAAGGTGGTGGCAGTAAGTGCACGAAGGAGAAAGGGAGCAAGGAAGGCCCTCCAGAGTGATGGAGTGGAGCTAAAGTGCTCTAGATGGTGCTCGGGGCTGGTCCGAGCTGAACTCCAGAAGAGAGGTCTGGCTTGCTGTCTCCACATCCTCACCTCCCTCTCACCCCTCAACCCCTCACACGTGGCTCCCACCCAGACAGCCCCAGGGCCACCAACGGTCCCATGCCATGAAATCCAATGGGCTTTCCTCAGTTCTCATCTCTCAGAAACACCTGAGCCTGCAGATCATCTTCCCTTCTTTTTTTTTTTTTTTTTTTTTTTTTTTTTTTTTTTGCGGTATGCGGGTCTCTCACTGTTGTGGCCTCTCCCCTTGCAGAGCACAGGCTCCGGACGCGCAGGCTCAGCGGCCATGGCTCACGGGCCCAGCCGCTCTGCGGCATGTGGGATCTTTCTGGACCGGGGCACGAACCTGTGTCCCCTGCATCGGCAGGCGGACTCTCAACCACTGCGCCACCAGGGAAGCCCCATCTTCCCTTCTTGAATAGAGGGGAAGCACTTCCCGCTGCTTCCATGGCATCCCGCTCTCTGGGTTTTCCCTTTGTGGGTGCCTCCTCCACACCGGGAGTCCCCCCAGCAGATCTCAGACCCTCCCCATCTCTCTCCCAGGCAGTGTCATCCACACTCACGACTTCAATTGCCACCTCTACTCAGATCCCTCCTAAATTCCTGGCTCCAGCTAAATTCCTCTCGGCTCCAGCCCCATTTATCCAGTGGCCTTCAAAATATCTCCATGTGGATATTGTAAGGGCATTTTGGATTCAGTTTGTCCAAAACATGCTGTGATCTCCCGGCCCCGCCACCCGCCCCTGGCTCGCTGGTCTCAGACTTCCCACCATCCATTCAGGTGCACACGCCTTGCTCTTCCCCAGGCCCCTGGGCATGGCCAGTTCATTACGAAGTTGTGTTGCCTTTACCTTCCCAGGTTTGTTTCTCTCCACCTCTCCCACCATCCCCCAGTCCAGCCTCCATCAGTCTCTTGCCTGGAGGAGCGTGGCAGCTTCTAACTGATCTCTTTAGGTGCACGCGTGTCCCCTACTCCAACCAGAGCGAGCTCCATGAACAGGGACACATGGCTGTATAAGTGTAAGCTTTCAGTGGCTTCGTAATGCTCTTGGAGTCAATTGCGGGTGCCTTGCCGCGGTCTCGTGGTTTGGCCTCTTGCCCACCTGTCCAGTCTCTCTTTCTCCTCCCAACTGCCCCACCCTCCACCACATTGGCCATCTTTTAGATCCTCAGAAGCGCCACCTCCTTCTCTCCCCAGGCCTTTCGTCTGTTCTCCCCTCTCCCCCCTTCCCCACTGGTTCCTCTCTGGCTAACACACCCAACCTTTGTTCAGATTTCAGCTCAAGTACCACTTCCCTGGGGATCCCTGTCCGCCCCCAAATCTGGGTCCAGATCTGTGGTTATACCCTCATGGAAAATGCATTCCTTTTCTTTTTAAGTTTTTTTGTTTGTTTGTTTGTTTTTTTGCGGTACGCGGGCCTCTCACCACTGTGGCCTGTCCCGTTGCGGAGCACAGGCTCCCGACGCGCAGGCTCAGCGGCCATGGCTCACGGGCCCAGCCGCTCCGCGGCATGTGGGATCCTCCCGGACCGGGGCACGAACCCGTGTCCCCTGCATCGGCAGGCGGACTCTCGACCACTGCGCCACCAGGGAAGCCCTCTTTTTAAGTTTTTTAAATAACATATATTAGTTTTATATTTTTTAATATTTATTTATTTATTGGCTGCGTTGGGTCTTAGTTGCGGCACGCAGGATCTTTCGTGGCAGCGCGTGGGCTTCTCTCTAGTTGTGGCCTGCAGGATTAGTTGCCCTGCGGCATGTAGGATCTTGGTTCCCTGACCAGGGATCAAACCGGCATCCCCTGAATTGCAAGGCCGATTCTCAACCACTGGACCACCAGTGAAGTCCCTGCATTCCTTTTCTTCAGCACTCTTAACCCAGTCTGTGATGATTCCTCATCTACACAGTTAATCTAGTGTGCCCACTTCCCCCACTGAGAGCTATACTGGTCTTACTCGCCACTGTCCCAGCACCCGGTCTAGCCTGTCATGTAATTAGTATCTGATATGTGTTTGTTGGAAGCAAATTTTCATCCATTTTCAACCCTCCAAGAGACCTGGTCCCTTTACTTGCCAAGACCTGCCCCTGACAAGAACGGAAGCCTCAGACAGGTTCACATCCTGGAGGTTTCCTCTGTCGAATAAGGACGGTAACACCTACCTTGCAAGGCAATTCTCAGATTTATCTTTAGAAACATCACTTCAGCTTTGTGCAGTTTTTTTTTTTTCTGTACAATGACATTTTATTTTAAAAATATCTAGAAGATAAATCATGATGGCAGCAGTGGGGTAGTCAAACAGAAGAGGGTAGAAATTAGACACGGAGGAAGAGTGCGGTGAGGTAGCCCCTGCAAGGCCCCAGGCAGAGGGCGAGGCCTCAGCCAGGCTGAGTGCAGTGGGTGAAGTGAACAGGTCTCCTCATAGCACCCTCAGCAAGTCAGGGCAGATGTGGCGGGAGTGGGGAGGATGGAGCCACCGAGGTGTGTGCAGTGAACTGACCGCTGTCACTCAGGCTTGTCAGCTGAGCTGGCTCCTGGGAGCCTGTGGCCATTTGCTCGGGGTGGGGAGAAAAGGGGAGATGTGCCTGCTTCTCAGGCCCACTGTTCAGCTGCTAAGTTTTCTGAATGGTTTATGCCTTTCAGAGGTACAATATATATGCAAGGGAGTGTGTGTGTGTGTGTGTGTGCATGTGCATGTGTGTGTGTGTGAGAGAGAGAGAGGGAGAGAGAAAGAGAAAATATGGGTCCATACCTGGTCACTCACACATCTGTGTCCATGTGCCTTTCATGGGTACATAGGCCACACTTCTACTCACTACCTCTGTCCTCCCACTGATACTCCTCCACTCTGCATATCCACTAGGGCCCGTCAGCAAACCTGCTTGCTCCCTTAATGAATTGCATGTTGGCCCAGAGGTGGGAGGTGAGGAAAGACTCCCCATGTAGGGAAGGGGTGGCCAGACTCTCAGCACAAGTCTTGTCTAGCAATTCACCCCCTCCCTGGGACTTTCCCAGTCGCCACTGCCACCATCATGCCATTTCCCTTCATCGCTCTGCCTCATACCCGGGCTTATATCCCTACTTTAGTTCCCTAGGATATAGCTGGGGAAATGGTCCCCCCACAAGTGGACATTCCTGATGGGCATTCCCACTGTCAACCCACCCAGCACAGGGAGGAGGCCTAGAAGGTGGGCCTTACACCTAAGGGAGCAAGGGGCCTCCTTCTGTTTCATGTTTGCCTGCCCCTCATTTCTTCCTTTTGGGAAATACGCCTTCCCCAATCCATGTGGTTCTGGGGGACTATCAACCAAGTGGGCCTGCCTGGGTCGCTGATCGGCTCGTGACCCAATCAAGAGCTGCAACCTTTTCCAAGGTTTTGCCAAAACCTCTGGGATCCCAGAAGGAAGCATGCACCAGGGTAACTGAATCAGCTACCACATCTGGCAGCTTTTAGAGCTGTGGCCCTCTGCCTACCCTATGCATACAGTTCCCGAGCTGACTGCCTCTCTAGCCCCTCCCAGCCACCGGCTGAGGCCACCTTTCCCCACCACCCGGAAACTCCAGACAGCAAGACCCTGAGAGAAATGTATAATCGACAGGACCCTCAGATGCAGAAGAAGAAACCCAGCTCAAGTTAGCATTATAACAAAAGGGTGATGTGTGGCCTGAGTGTGGGGAAATCTAAGGGAAGCAGCTGCTTCAGGTACAGCTAGATCCAGGAAGTCCGGCATTGCCACCAGGATCCCCTCTGTGGTCCTCTCTCCTCTGAGCAGGCTTTTTATCTCAGACAAGGTCCTGCATGTGGCATCAAAGACTCACCAAGCCCCTCCAGGATGCCTGGTGTTGACCGAGACGCAAGAACTCAGAGGAAGACCCTTCTCCCAACACCCATATCAGTCCCCTTAAGAGCATTTTGCTTGGCCCCTCTTGGGTCATGTTCCTGTTGATCAACTGACCACTGGTAGCAGACACCTTCTTGACGCACACTCCACTGGGCCACATGCGTGGGGGAGGGGCATTTCCCAGAAGGAAGCAACGAGGGACAGACAGAAAGCAATTGACGTCCACCCCAAAGTCCCTTCTCTCCCTCCAGTCTGAGGCCCACCCTCTAAGCCACCACTTGCTGTAACAGGGTGCCCGACTTCTGAAAAGACATCTCCCTCAGCACCGACTCCAGTCCAGACCTTGCCGGGGTAGGAAGCCCCAGACACTGCCTCACTGCCTCAGACGCCCCAGCGCTGGGTTTTCTCACACTTTCTCTCCTTTTTCCCCAGGGCTTCTATTCCTGGTTTTTCAACACCATCACCATGAAGTAAGTGCCTGAGCTTCCTGAGCCTTATCTGGGGGAGGGTGGGGACAGGGTCTCCTGCCCTTCAGGACTAGGCCTTAGGCCTAAATTCTGTGCCCCAACGTCCACTCCCCACTCGCCCTGCCCACCGCAGCCCGGCCCTGGCAGAGGACGCTTTCCGGCGTTCCGTTGGTGAAATGGGAACTGGACGCTGCCCACGCCCATTTTCCCTCTGCCACAGTTCTCGGGAAAGACCCCTCTCACATGCTTGTAAAAATGCTTTTATGACGCCCACACGAGGAAAAAGAAATCCTTCCCAGGTACTCTTTGCTTCACTTCTGTGAACATCATTCCTCATATTTGCCTAGATGGAAAAAACAAAAACCACCAGGCAGAAGGGCAGGCTTCCTCTCCCAGCCTCCATGCCCATTACGGACGGACAACCCCTGGCCCACCACACCTTCTGGATCTCTTTAGTGTGAGACCCCACTTGGCAAGGAGAGACCCCGAGTTACCTGTCATCTCCTGATGGCCTCATACCAGCCAGACGCCTCCGCAGAGCAGACACCTGTCAGAGCTCCATGCCTCCACTGCGTGTGTGGACACGCACACACACGTGCATACACACTTACATGTGTGCACACAGCACTGTCTCCACCTCAGAGCGCTGTGTGTTCCTGGGCTCTCCCTAAATATCCCCCATCTGGCCTGCCCTGCCTGTCCTTCGAACCCCTCCTCCAGGGTCCGTCCTTGCCTGGTGCTGCCTGCCTTAGGGTGCAGCCTCAGTGCTCCCCAGAGGCCGCCTGCACCAGGGGCCTGCCTGGATCTGCACATCTGCTTCTTTGCCAAGGCCCTTAGGGCTTCTTCCTTCATGTACCTCCATGCCCACACCATTCAAGGGCCTTGCTGGGAGCGTTCAGACATTGCCGCAAGATCCCATCCACCCGCATGAGCTACACCCGGGCACCTCTCTTTCCCCAGACCTGTTGAAGGGCCTGGGACCCTTTGGGGGCACCAGATACCATGACTGGGCCTTGGGAATCCAGAGCTGGGCTTGGGACCAGCAGCCTCTGGGGTTTGAGCCCCAGCTCCACTGGTGGAGGACTCCCCATGGCCTTGGCCTCTCGTCTTCGTTCATCGTTCACCAGAGTCCCGAGGAAGTGATACACCTGGTTTGTGCATGGGTGGGAATCTTAGCCACATGTTGGGGGAGTGGAGGGGAGACTTTTATTTCTTGGCACATTCTCTGGTTTTGCTTTGTTAATTTTTAAAACATGCACAAGCTTGCATACATACATTTTTATTAAGAGAAACCTATACCTCCAGTCTCTCATGCCCCTCTTCATGACCGCCCTTTCCCGCAGAAGCCAAAGTCCCAGCGCACAAAGCCCACTCAGTCTAGTTAGCAAAACATGGGTTAACAAGACCCACTACACATAATTGATAATGGGGAGAGCATAATTGCTGTGCAAAGGGTATTTGGGAGAGCGAGAAATTAATTCCAATTTGGGGGTTCAGAAGAAGCATAGTTTTGAGCGAGGCCTTGAGGAATGGGAAGAATTTTGACCGTTGTGATGTGGAGGGCCCATCAGAAATTAAGGACTGCATGAGCAAAGGTTTGGGGCAGAGATGGGCAGGGAGTGTCCAGAAATGGTAAATCTTCTGGTGTGGCTAGAAGCAAGAGTACATAGCAAGAGAGGGGATGAAAGATTGGGCCAGAAGGATCAGCTGGGATCTTGACTACCATACCGAGAATCTTGGCTTTTGATTTAGAGGCAGCAGGGAGCCAGTGACTACTTTTGAGCGGGACGCTCAGGTGATGTCTGTTTGTAAGCAGGGGCATGAGGGGTGAATGGCAGTAGGAAGAGTCCAAAGGCGACGTGAGCAGCTAAGAAGGTTTTTCCAGTGTCCAGGTGAGAGGTGGTGGTGACCAGGGAAACAATGCGGAGGAGACGTGGGGAGGGAGATGATGGGGCAACAACAGTCAATGGGTTGTTTCCACCTGGCTTCCACCTGGTTAGGAAAAAGGGAGAAATCAAGGTCTGGTTTCTGGGGAGGGTAATAATACCACCGGTTGGGAGATGAGGAGATATGATGAGTTGGGAAATTAATGACATAGGGCCAGGGTGAGCATGTGAGTTGACCGGCAAGCTGTTGAAAAACAGGATTAAAGCTTAGGAGAAAGGTCGGAGCTAGAGATTTAGACTTGGGATATGGGTGCACAGAGGTCGTAGTTGAAGTCATGGGAGCAGATGGGACACCCAAGGGAAAGGGCCCAAGGAAGAGACTGGTTGGGACAAGAGGAAAAGGTGGCAATCTCTAGGGCACGGGCTTACTGAAGCCAGGCAGGCGCCAGGTCCAGACAGGGTGTGGTCAGCAGCCTCCAGCCCTACAAGGTTGAGTAGCATGAGCGCTCAGCAGAGGATGTCGGCTTTGGAGATCTGAATCTCCACTGGGAGCGCAGTTCCAGGACGAGGAGATGTCCAAGAAGTAGAGGCAGAGAATGGAAGCCACCTTTTTCAAGAGGTGGGTGGGAGCAGGGAAGGAAGGATATTGGATGGAACTTGAAGGGAAACTGGTGAAGGAGTGGATGCTTAAGGAGTTTCTTGGGGTGTTTTTTTTTAAGAGTAGCAAATGAGCACTTGAACCTGGCTGTAGTTGAAAGGGAAGACGTGTGGGCGTCTGTAGAGACAGATGGATGTGAATTTAAAGATGAGACAGGTAGAGCAAGTCTCCAGCAAGAGGTAGAAGAGAGGAAGCGATTAGAGCAGAGATGAGAATTACTTGTCAGTAGGAGAAAGAGTGATGCCTGGAATGTCATGGGGCCGGCACTTTAAAGAATGGTGGGAAGAGAACAGAACTGAATAGAGGAATATGTATAGGCAGACTCAAAAATTCAGGCTTCCCTCAGGCTGCTGAGTGTAACCTGCCTTTCGGTGCAGATGGAGCAATGGGCCCAGTGGGGAGGCGGGAATTGTCAGCCCAGAAAGGAGATTCTTGTGTTCTTCGTCCCGTCCAGCCCTCTGCTCCCTCCACCTGGTTGGAGGCTCTCACCCTGCCTCTGGCACACTGTTTCTATCAGGTGAGCAAATCTTGGCACCCCAAGCCTGCAGGGGGACATTCCCCCATTCTCCCTTCTCACCAGCTCTCATCCACCCCATTCTTGGGATTTAATTCTCAAGTCCAAGGCAGGAAGTGTTTTAACTGCTTGAAGTTAAAAAAAGGTTGAGAGCTCTAAATAATTAGCTTAATGGTGATACTGAAAGCCTTGAAGATATGCTCTTTGTGATATTGTTGAAAAATAAATCTGAATCCTGGACTGAATGCTAGAAGTTGCATACAACCTTCAAGTCTGATCAGAGGGCAAGGGTGAGTAAACTATGGCACATCCACCAAAGACGGGGGTGTGCAGCTTGGGGCTGGGTGTGAATCAGTAATCCACAAACAGAGGCTATTGTCACCATTATTATTGGGCAGCCATAAAAATATTTAGACAAAATGTAAAACAGTCAGAAAAGACTTAAGATCAAATGCTGAGCAAAAGAGCAATACGTCAAATGCTGTTTATACTACAGTCACAAGTTAAACCAGCAATACAGTAAGAAGCTAAAGGAAATTGGCCACAATGATTAATAGCCATTATCTTAGGTTTGATGAGACGGTTGGGGAATGATTTTCTTCTTTTGTATTTTCCCAAGTTTCTGTAATAAGCATGTATTGCTTTAAATGTTTTTAATTGAAGTATATAACACACGTACAGAAAAGTGCACAAAAAATGTGTCCAGCTCAGTCATCACAAGCAAAGCCTATACAAGCACCATCCCGATAAAGAATTAGAACCTTGCCAAGACCCCAGAAGCCCTCCTCCTTCTCCCTCCCAATCTCCTATCACCTCCCACCTCTCCAAAGGTAACCAGTATCCTGACTTCTAACTCTGTAGTTCAGTATTGCCTATTTTTGAACTTTGTATATGAAATCATATGGTATGTATTGTTTGTGCCTGGCATCTTTCACTCAATGTTGCATTTGTGGGGTTCAGCTATGGTCATTCATTTTTATCTCTGTATGGTATTTCATTACATACATATAATGTGATGTATGTAGATCACTATATATATATTTCACTACATGTATATTTCAATTCTTGTGTCCATTCTACCTTTGATAGACAATTAAGTTGTTTCCAGTTTGGGGCTGTTACAAATAATGCGTCTGTGACATTCTTATACATGTCTCTTGGTGCCCATGTGCATGTATTTCTGTTGGGTATAAACCTAGGAGTGGAATTGCTAGGTCATAGGGTATACTTATAGTCAACTTCTGTAGATAATGTCCACTCTTATCCAAAGCTGTGTGCCAGAGTAAGTACCCATGAGTGTGAGAGAGCTCCCGGCATCCCACACCCTCGCCAGCACTTTCTCGCCAACACTTTCCTCACCGACTTTCCAACTTTGGCCAGTCTGGCAGTGTGGAGTGATACCTCATTGTGGCTTTAAGTACCCCTTTTTAATTTAAGGAACAACTTTTTGAAAAATAGGATGAATCCTGTTATCACTAATGGTTTATTCAGTGCCTACGCTATAGCAGGCACTCAAAATGTTTGAAGAGCAATAAAAGAGGAAATAAAAGCCTGATTTAAGAGGGCTTCTGGATTCCCAGGAGTGTATCTGTAGCCTCTATCTTTGATACGCCTGTGAAATTCAGTGAAATACATTTCAGGCATAACAAGTTTTGAGAAGTGTGATATCTCTAAAGATAAAAACTCGGGGGTAGGGTGGTCATCTTCTCTCCCTTTCCTCTATCTACCTCTGACTTCCGTTGTAGCCACACTGGCTCCTGAGCAATGTCCTTGTCTCTGTGTCTCTTCCAGGAACGAAGATCTGATTAGCAAGTGTGGAGACGATGCCCGTATCTACATCATGTTCCAGTATCATCTCATCATCCTTGTGCTTATCCTCTGCATCCCCTCCTTGGGCATCATTTTGCCCATCAACTACATTGGAAATGTTCTGGGTAGGCAGAGCTCAGCAGGTCCCGGGCCCGGCCCACTAGACCTAAGAGGCAGCCTGGTAGGCAGGACAGAGCTTGGGTCTTGAGCGTCTAGGAATCTAAATTTTAATTGCACTTCTCAAAATTAGTTATGTGACCTTAGGCAACCCACGCTTCAGTTCTCTCACATGGAAACCGGAGATGATACCTCTTTTGGTATAAACTTGGCCCAGGGCCTGGCACACGGAAGGCAGATAGTAGTAATTCAGTCTAAAACTGAATGTTTATTTATGACCCCACACTGCACCTGTCCAGGTGTTCCTGGTGGCCTTGTTATGACGTGTGACCCACTACAAAGATCTCTGGACCTGATCTCTCTCTGTACCCACTCTGATGGACACAGCATGCAGAATTTCTCATAGGGATTCTATCTGCACTCCTTATAACAGGGTAAATTTTCACACAGTAATGTGGTGGGTGAGGGCTTGGGCTTCAAAGACAGAAAAATCATGGTTCCCCAACTTTTACCCATATCTGCTTCCCAGAAAATTATTTCATCTTATACAGTGTCCTCAGGCCTCAGTTTCCTCAGCTGTCTTAGGGATTGAGAGACAATGCGTGTCAAGTGGCTGGCACAGTGCCTGATAGTGGGCACTGTGAATAACAGCCAGGGTTTCACTAGGATATGCAAACATAGAGCTGTATGAGGTCCTTACAACTAGGTGGTACAGGATAGCACCTTAAGTGCCCAGGTGGCAGCCAGGTGTACCCTGATTGCTCAAGTTTCCACCTATTTCTCCTCGGCCAGAGGTAGACCTCAGTTACTTCAAGGTAGCACCCATTTCTCATGCTACCAAATACCACCACCAGAGTAAGTAACTACTGAGCCCTGCCTTCCCAGATTCTCATCCTAAGAGCTAGTATGTTGGCAATGATGATAGTATGATTTCATAAAACTTGGAGATGTCTAAACCAGCACACTAATACACTCAGCCAGAAGGATTTACTCTGTTTGAATGAGGCAGCAATGCATTTCCAGAAGTTCTGGGTTTTGTGATTGTTGCCAGCGGTAACAGTGTTGCTAATTTCATCATTCCGCTCATGGTGGGGCTGCCGGGTCCCTCCCACAAGCATTCACCGGTGTCTACCCTGAGTCAGTCATGCTCTGGGGTTGCCACGCCAATGCTCGGTCTTGCTTCACAGCCGAGGAGCCCCAGTCAGCAGTCCCAGGGGGGAGAGGAGGCCTCTGATGGGGCTGTTTGGAAGCTGGGGACAAGCTCTGGGGAACTAGAAGGAAGACCAGGACGTAGGCAAGCATCTCTAGACCCTGGGCATTCACTCAGGAACCCTGAAGTCTGGCACCCAACCAGTCAAGGTGCCAGGCTTGAGGTCAGCAACTTTCTTCTCTTTCAGATTGGAATAGTCACTTTGGTCGGACCACCATTGTCAATGTCTCCACAGAGTAGGTACCTGATCCTCTTACCTCCCATTCTACTGGCTTGGGGGCTGGGTGTTAGCGTGGAGAGATGGTCCAATGCGTGGGTCCAAAACATGAGCACCACTCTGCTGATAAGAAAGGCCTGGTCTCCTTGGGAACCCAGGTTCCAAGTGGGATGCCAGAAGTTGCATCCTCTTGGTAAGGAAGTATTCTTGGTGCCTCAGTGTCCCCATCTCTGTAATGGATGGAACTACCCAAACCAGTCACTCCTGAAGATTTGGAAAGATGGTCCTATTTGCTTAGTATGTCCAGCTCCCAACAGGATTACTGTAGTAAGCAGAGGTTTAAGGTATTGCTTCCCTGCCCACAAAATAGCTCAGGTCAACCCTCATATAACCGAGTGAAGCTCAGACCTGATTCCCACAGCAGCGAGACTAAGGAACCACAGGAGCTGGGTTCATGCCCCGGCTTTGCCATTAGCCGGCCCTGGGTCTGAGGCAGTGCACCCTCCCCCTCTGAGCTTCATCCCTAGTCCACGGTGGGGGAAGAGCTGTTGGACATGACCTCTAAGCCCCCTCCAGCCCTCATGGTCCAGGCACCTGTGGATTTTAACATCAGCCAACCCAGCTGGTGGCCACGTCCATCTGTACTGAGCCAGATGTGGCCCTGCCGGTCCCGGCTGAGACATCGTCCCCGCTAGGCCTCAGGGCCAGGCTTGGTCGACTTCCTGACAAAGCTGAAGCAGTATTTCCAGCAGGTGTGAGTGCGCTTTGCCCACTCCTGCCCCTCCTCCCCTTGCCCCACCCCTGGTCCTCTGCCCCTGCACCCCTGCAAACTCCATCAAATGCCGAATCCATCAAAGTCCAAACTCGGCAGAATGGTCGGGCACCCTCTCGCCTCCACCTTCAACCAACTCTTCCCCGGGTACTGGCAACACCAGAGCAGAGCTTACCAGCCTCTCCCAGGCCGGCCACTGTTGTAAGCGTGGCACCTACAACTTCCCGACTAGAAGTGAGTTTTAATAGGGCAGCAAAGAGCCTTCAACGTTTGTAAATCCATACTGGCAGAGAGCTGGAATGTCCCTTAGGGGCCGTGTCACCTTGCCCGCTCTGAGAACACTGAGGAGAGAAACATGTAACTAGGTAGGGAAGGTTAGGTGAAATGCCAGCGCGGGGACAGCGGTGAGGAGATATTTTGAAGCAAGGCAGCCTTTCTCTCCCCCAACTGCACCAAATAAGGCGGGCCCTATTTCCAAGCAGTCATCCTGGCTGGTTGCCTTGGGACAGCATCACGTGAGCACAGAGCCCAAGGGCCAGCACTCTTCCTACCCCAGGGAGGCGGGCCGAACCTGCAGGTGACCCCGGAGTCCCTTACCATGGAGGCCAGGTGGCCCCTCCTGCTGTCCTAACGGTCGGCGGGGGCGGCCTGAGCCACCGCTGCGGGCAGCACGACACGGCATGAAGAGTATAAGTGCTTCTGCAGCTCTGGGCTCACCTCCCGGCACTGCCACAGCTAGGAGTGACCTCGAGCAGTCACTCTAGCCCTTGTTTCCCTACGAGTAAAATGAAGACATTCACAGTACCACCTTCACGAGGTACAAGGGTCTAGTGAGAAAATGTCCACAAAGCATTGAGTCCCACCCTGGGCCTGACATATGGTAAACACTCAAGAAATGTTAGCCTCTGTTAGTTGGAGTGGACGTCCCCTTCTCCATTCCCTTCCAAGGTGCCTGAGTGTCTGGAGGCACCAGAGGGCGGCCCCGGGGAGAGCGTGTGGGCTGGAAGTGGGGGTCTCACACCTCCTGTGTCTTGCTCTCGGCAGGAGCAAGTTCCTGTGGCTGCACAGCTTCTTTGCTTTCTTATACTTTGTCACCAGCTTCCTCTTCATGACTCATCACTGCTTAGGGTTTGTGCCCAAGAAGAGCTACAAGGTGAGTAGGTGAAAAGAGCTACCAGACCAATACCCTCTCGGCTAGAGGCTCTCCCCAGCTGGACACCATCCCACTCCCATACTTCAGAGGCATCCCAGCTTGGTGTGTTCTGCACACCTGGCGGGGGGCGGGGGGCGGGGGGCAGTCTCACCTGAGTAGGGCAAGCCTCCTCCGCTTATCCCTGGGAATCGTCACCTGGCACATCTGTCTGGGCTGTTAAACCACTAATACACTTCCAAACCAACTGGTAAATAGCTGCTCCCAGGGGCCTCCTCCCCCTGCACCCCTGCTGCCCTGGACCCTCTCCAAGGACCCCTGGACCTCCCCACCATCAGAAAACTAAAGGCTTAACTAAGCCCTGAACCTGCGGAGGGCCTCCATCTTCAGCGGCCAGTGCCCCCTGCTGACCCTCTGGGTAGATATTTTGACTTGCTGTGCCCAAGCTCCTTGCCCTTCCACCATCTCCCTGAGGTCAGAGACCCCATGTCCTGCCCCAGTGTTATCCCCACTGTCTTGGTTTGTGTTTCCCCCATCCTACCTCCCAAGCAGACCCTGAGACAGGGATTTGAGTAGCATTCACTTATTTGGGAGGTGATCCCAGGAAGGACCACTAGGTGGGTAGGGTCTTCTGAGGTGGAAGGTGGCAGGTAAAAGCGAGATCAGCTCCTTCAAGCTGTCCACCCTAAAGGACAGATTCACTTTACTCCACCCCAGAATGCAAACGCACATACCCCTGAAAGGTAATCCCGAATGTTTCAGCCTGCCAGTCATGGAGGCTTGGGCACCCCTGACCAGTCTGGACTCGGCCACTTCAGCTTTCCTTCTTGCCACCAGACGCTTCTGCCCAGACTCCCCTCTCTTGCAGCACAGTTTACCAGACTGTCGCCTTGAGGCAATGGCTCAGGAAGACATTTCCCACTCACAGAATAAAATGTGGACTTTGAGGGGCTTCCACATTCCCTCCCCAGAGTCTAGCTCGCCTCCTTACTCCCCTGCGCAGTCTGATGAGAGGGACCACCCAGCGAAGTGGGACGTCACTTGGAGCAGCGGAGGTGCAGGGAGACTGTAAATCAGCAGGACAGCATGAGCAGCCCTTGCAGGGTGTGGGCTGTGGTCCTTCCCCAGGCCCTGTCTGCAGCCCCTGGCTCTTCCGCCCTCCATCACAGCCGTCTATGGCAAGGGGTCCACGGGGGGCACAGAGATTAACAGAGGTGTAGCTTCCCTGGCTGCAGCTTCCCACGGCCTGCTGACCTCAGGGACACAGGCTGGGGAAACTGACACTTGGCTTACCCAGCAAGGAGGCGGCCTGATGTGAGTAGAAAACCTACTCCAGGTGGTTCTGGGCCACCTGAAGACCCAGACTCCAGGAGTCCTGTGTGAGCACAGGCTTCTTTCTCCATTGACCTTCCCCACCTAGGTCACAAGGACACTAATGATCACCTATGTCCCCACGGACATCCAAGACCCAGAGATCATCATTAAACATTTTCAGTAAGTGGGTCGGGTGGGCTGAGGCATGGATCGCATCCTCCTGGTAACCCTGCCTGGGTCCTCATGTGGGTAGTGATGCACAGGATGGTGGAGTGGGGCTGTGGCTCACCCTAGATTCAGCTCAGGATCCTTTCAGAATGGGGGAGGCCCTGGTTGGGGGCAGAGCAGGGTTTCTGAAGTCAGGGAATTTCTGCATGGCATGGGTGTGATGGGGGATGCCTTTCCCTTGTACCTCCAACTGTGGAGCCCAGGGAGCTGCCAGACCGCATTTATCTAGAGCAGGTCATCTTGAGGCAACTTTTGTGACCCGAGTTCCTAGCCACAGGAGCCAATTATCTCTCCATGAGCAGCAGTTTCCAGCTCTGCTCCCTGGCCCTGTTCTGTGTCATCTGGGGAAGATGTGGCAACTCTCAGATTAACAGGGATCAACCCTGACATCCAGCCTTAGGAGCAAGGGGTGGATTCTACCATCCAAGCACCAGGAACCATGGGTAGCTGAGCCCCCTAGCCCTGTAGGCTGTAGCTCTGGGTAGGGGGTGGGGGGTGGGGAAGGGGGAGGTCCCCAGCCCTACGGAATGGCTCAACCTCCATGTTTGTGGCTCCAGTGAGGCCTATCCAGGGTGCGTGGTGACCAGAGTCCACTTCTGCTACGACGTCAGGACCCTGATTGACTTGGACGATCAGAGGTGAGGCTGTAGCGGGACCTGTCTGAATCTGGGGTGGGGAGAGAAGGAGCGGTTGTGGCTCTGCTGGCACCCTGACCACAAGATGCTTCTCCTGTTGCCCATTGGCTGACAGGCGCCATGCAATGCGGGGCCGGCTCTATTATACTGCCAAGGCCAAGAAGAAGGGGAAGGTGATGATCAAGATCCACCCCTGCTCCCGGCTGTGCTTCTGCAAGTGCTGGGTTTGCTTTAAAGAGGTAACTGGCAAGGGTATCGGGGGACACAGCGGAGGGGCTAGGGCACCGGGTCTCCAGGCTTTGTCCAGGGCTCTGGGCAGTGCCCCTTGCCCGCACCCTGGGGCCACAGGCCTCAGTCAGGTCTGCTCTGTGCTGCGGCACCTGGCTCCTGCTTTCCTTTCCACCGGTCCTATCTCCCTGTTGAGAGGAGTCTTCCTTGGGGCCCCCTCCAGAGTGATCCAGGGACGCTCGTTCTTGCCCCCTCCTGGGCTCGGATGGGAGGACCAGCATGGACACAGCAGGCTGCTATAGGCTCCCAGGCCTCAGGCTTTCAGAGAGCTAGGACAGGAATATTTGAAAGCAGTGGATTCGGTCTTATCGCCCAACCACCGTGGCTAGAAGGAGGTCTCGGCAGGACTGAACTCTAGCGAGTCCAGAAAAAGAATCATCCCCTTTCCTGAAAATGCTACAAACACATTCTATCACTCCTCTGGAGGCTACTCGGAGTCCAGAGGCACCCCTTACCCCCAGCGATGCCTCGCCTTTGCTAGATCTAAGAGCAGGGAACTAATCTCAGAGTCATAGCCTCTTCCTCTTCTAGAGCTGGGATCTTGGAGCCCACCTGGGGTCCTGAGCTTTTTGCCGGGCTTCCAAGGGAGCCGGGGATGGAACCAAGACCTCGGGCCTGCCGCCTGAGTGGAGAGAGGCCTCACCTCCAAGCGTGAGGCCTGGAGCTCTGGCTGCTCCAGCTCTGAGGGCCACATCTCACCCCAGGTAGACGCAGAGCAGTATTATAGTGAGCTGGAGGAGCAGCTGACTGATGAGTTCAACGCTGAGCTCAACCGCGTTCGGCTGAAGCGTCTGGACCTGATCTTTGTCACCTTCCAGGACTCCAGGATGACAAAGCAGTGAGTGCCAGGGCCAGCTGCTTGCTGTGCCCAGCCCAGCCCTGAGAGTGGGCCTCTGCTTCTCTGAAACCATCCTCTTTCACCCCCATTCCAGCCAAGGGGAGGAGGAGAGAGAGCCTCCCTCCAGTTTGCCATAGTCTGCCCTCCCCTCGACCCCTCCATGCTCCTCATGGGCACGGCAGCTGCCATCTTGCTTTCTAGAGCATGGCCACATCCGTCTTCCCCCAGCTGCCAGGCTCAGCTTGTCTCCAGAGATGCCCAGGCCCTGGGCTCTTCACTCCCATGTGTTCTTGCTTCAGCACAGAAGTGGTCAGAGTAGCTGTTCACCTCTTGGTTCCTCTTCCAGGCCTTGACAAGAAAGGCACCCAGTTCTCCCTCATTGCACATCAGCCCGCCCCTCACCACGAGTGACAGAGTCAGGGTAGAGAAGCCCTGCCTGCCATTTCTCCTCTCCTGCTGCAAGCCTCCCCTGATTCATAGCCCTACTGCCTCCTCTCTCCTCCGCGCCAGCCTCTGGCAGCCCCACCTGGATAGGGAGTGGATGAGGGCCACTCTGGAATGTTCTGGAAGGAATCTTAGGACTGGGTCAAATAGATGGGAGCCTCAGAATCAGTCTTTTGAGGATTATGGGGCCCTCCTCTCCCCGAGGGAGCCTGATCACTCACAACATTTGTCCTCACCCACCCCAGCCCTACCAAGGAACAGTGGCACAGGCTAGAGTTTAGTCGCAAAAAATTGTGTACAATTTTGCAAGTCACTTACAGCCTCAAATTTCTTACCTATCAAATTTGATTACTTATATCTTCCCTGTCCTCCTCCCAGAGGGTTAAGAAGGGATATGTGTTCTAGTTAGTGTATGTGTTACATAAAACAATACACCTACATAAGACAATAACTTTCTGAGAACACTCTCTGTAGAGAGCATCTAAGGTTTAATTACAGCAGACGTGTGAATTCGAAAACCAAAGATGAGGCTCCAGTGCCAGCACCCACCCCTTTTTGGTTGTGTCTTCAGTGATCTGTGCAATTAAGACGATGTTAATCACCAATTAGCACAGCGTCATGCACTGTGTAGAACTCAATAGTCGGTAGCTACGGATACTAAGATGGGGCTGAAATGAATACCTCTCCTGTCAACCTCACAGAAAGAGCGGGTCTTTGTGCTGTCACTACTGTTAAGGGGAAAAGACATGAACTGAGAACCGTGTGGCCCCCTTTTTTCCTGGACAATCCCTCCCTCTAATGCCCCTTTTGTTCAGTGACTAGGCCTTAGGGACTGCCCACTTACGAGGTCGAGAGAGACATATCCAAGTCTCCAAGAATTCCCAGGAAGTGGATGAGCCTCTACCTGTGGGATGGCCACAGCGGCCCCAGGCCCCTGGCATGAGAGGACAGGCCCTGATTCCCTCCCCCGCCACGGGCCATCGTCCTCACCCCCGGACCTCTGTCTGCTCCCGCATCTCTGCAGCATCCTGGAGGATTACAAGTTCATCCAGTGCGGTGTGTCGGCCCAACAGTCCTCGGTGACCACCGTCGTCAAATCCGACCACTGGAGGGTTGTCCTTGCCCCACATCCCAAAGACATTATTTGGTAAGCCCTCTCTGTCTCTCCCCTCTCCTTTGAGCTCCTCTGGGACTTAAGAAGGCCGTAGGATGGGGAAGGGAATCAGGGCCTGTCCTCCTGCTGCACTGCCCACACACGGCCCCCGCTGGGCTGTTTCTCTGGTGGGCATCACAGCCTCCTCCCACGCCCAAGCCCACTCCACCACAAGCGTGGAAGGCACCCAACCTTTGGGGAAAGAATTTTTTCCTGCAGAAAGATTTCGGATCGTTGTTTTGGCTCGCCTATGGGATACATTCAGAGGCTTTACAAGTGGTGTGACTGAGGGGAAGGCCCAGGGCTGTCTCATGCAGGCGTGGGTGGGCCCACGGGGTTGAATTAGACCAGGGCAGCCCGGTCCACAGCTGGCACGCGGGAAACAGCACGGGCTGTGTCTGAGGGCTGAGACCCGGGGTCCTAAGTGCGTCTCCCTCCTCCGTCCTGCCCAGGAAACACCTGTCTGTCCGCCGCTTCCACTGGTGGGCCCGCTTCATCGCAATCAACACCTTCCTTTTCTTCCTCCTCTTCGTCCTCACCACGCCTGCCCTCATCATCAACACCATCGACGTGTACAACGTCACCCGCCCCATCGAGAAGCTGAAGGTGCCTCCTCTGCTCAGGCCAGGCGCGGGGGCCCCAGGGATATGAAGGAAGAACTCAGGCGAGGAGGGCGTGGGAGGCCCACTGGGACGTGACTCCGATGCCCGCACACTTGTGGCAGTGGCAGCGGTGTAAATGGTGGCACAGCGCTTCCTGTGTTCTAAAGGGCATGAATGTGGGTGGTTGCCCATCTTAGGGAGCGGGGCTGAAGAGTGGGGGAGCCCCAGGCAAGTTCTGGGGTGAGTTTGGGGGGTGGGCTTGGAGGGCTCCTTTACATTGGGCCAAGCTAGAGGTACAAAAGGAGCAGCAGAAGGTGTGGCGAGCGTGACAGCTCTGTTCTCCCCACGTTCTCTAGAGCTGGGCTCCCTGCTCTGAAGACAGGGTTGAGGGCGGGGCAGGCAGCGGTTAGTTCCAAGGCAGCCCTTCTAGAGGAGAAGGCCCTCCAGCTCTGTCGCCACTTCCCGCACTTCCAGACACACCCACACCTGGCTGGGCTTGTGCGGCGGCTCACAGGAGTCGTCCCTGGAGGGAAGGGCTGCTTCATATGGACAGAGGTGTTCCGAGGAACTGGACTGGCTCGTTTCCAAGTTCCATAGCCTCAAGGCTGTCGTAGTGATCCCAGAAGGCCCCTCCTTTCCTGTTATCCCCGTGCCTGTTCCAGCAAAACACACGCACCCACGCGTGCACGCACGTGCATGCAGCCAAGCCAAGCACTTCTGCTGCTGCTGCCTACCTTTGCCCTCCTTTGTCAGCTTCACAATAGGCCCCAGGCAAGGGGACCACAGCTCTCCCTGGGAATTCTTGCTCCATACCCTCCCCTTCTTCGCCGCTTCTCACACAACATCACAACAAAAGCAGCGTCTCTGGGGGCTTCCCTGGTGGCACAGTGGTTGAGAGTCCGCCTGCCGATGCAGGGGACGCGGGTTCGTGCCCCGGTCCGGGAGGATCCCACATGCCGCGGGGCGGCTGGGCCCGTGAGCCATGGCCGCTGAGCCTGCGCGTCCGGAGCCTGTGCTCCACAACAGGAGAGGCCCCAACGGTGAGAGGCCCGCGTACCGCCA